TCAAAACACAGTTGCACTGAAACTCTGTATAAGAGAGAGTGCCTCTGAAGCAAAGTTTGAGGGATGGAAATTAAAGAATGTATTTTGTTCTTAGCTTAAGGGGACTGATCCCAAGAGTAGACGAAGCCCACTTAAAGTCTCTTCTTTATCTGTTGTAATCTCTCTAGGTCTTTGAAATTAAGATTCATAAAAATCTTTACTTCACCAAGATCAAGCATTTTACAAATACTTTGGTGAAGGAGTGGTCCCCTCTGATGCATACTATCTTCTTGACTGCAAGGTTTGCTTTTGTTCTGTAAATCTCAGCTTCAATGCCATCTTTTCTGAAGAAGGTCACCTGACATGTGCTGTCACACAACCTGGTTGATGATGTTCCAGTATTTATTACCTACAATTATTTTATTTATTTGTTTACTTTCTGTCTTCCATATGAGAATAATCTCCACGAAGGCAGAAACCATGTTTTTCTTTGGAGAGTCAATAAATGAGTTAATAAATGAATGATTGAGGGCTGGTTCACTAGTTGGTGTGGATGTATAGGACAGGAGGGATACACTTACTTCTTTGAAGGAAGCTTAAAAACTTATATAGAGCCTTATACAGAAAAGTATACTCATATTTTGTGTTACTTTTACTACATTGCTCATTTGAGGCTGACTTATGTTGCCATTTTAAATTTTAGATAAGTTAATTTTCGTCTCATCGACTCTGTCCCCTTTGGGCCAGGCGATGCGTTTTATACTTCTGTACTCCCAAGAACTAGCACTAACACATTGGTTTCAATAATATAGAATAAGGAAACAAGCAGAAAAACAAAGTTAAAAAAAAAACAACCCTTGATGTTCATTTAGGGCAACCCTTGGTGCAATAATGCAATAGGAGCAGGATGTCATGGCACATACATACCTGTAAGCCCAGTGATTTGAGAGGCTGAGGCTGGAAGATCAGAAGTTTAAGGACAGCCTCAGCAACTCAGCAACAAGACCCTAAGCAACTTAGAGAGACTCTGTCTCAAAATAAAAAGGGCTGGGGTTGTAGATCAGTGGTAAAGTGCCCCTGGGTTTAATCCCCAGAACAAAAATAAATAAATAGAAGAATGCAATTCTCATAGTTCATAAACATTGACTGGGTTACAATAATTTTTAGAAAATAGATTATAAAATAGCATACTCGAACAAGTAATGCTAATATACACTGTATTTTAAATCATGTAAATTATATATGATGATAATCCTGAGTCTACTTTTAAAAAGTACTCAAACTACTTGAGGGTGATATTTATTAGACATGAATTTACTAGTAGTAGAACTAAAATTAATGTAAACTGACCCAACATTGGGTCCAAAGTTTTCTGAATGTGCTCATTGGTGAGTATGTACTTTCTTGGGTCTAAGGAGAAAAGCTCAGGCAGAGGAAGCATCACATACCTGAGTTTATGACCCACTCCATTAATTCATTCTTGTGACAAGGACCATCATAATGTGATTTTTTTCTTTGATTCTCAAAGAAACATATACTAGCTTTAGAAAGACTAGAAAGTGTAATTGGGAGTTAAAAATTAGGAAAAAAATAAACCCATACAAATAATCCATACCCAGAGACAAAAGCTGTTTATGTGTTAATGTTGTATAGCGCAATACCCAAGTATTTCTATATGGCATACTGCAACTATAAAGTTTACACTTGCACTTGTCAATTTTATATGATTTTTATCAATACTATTTATCATCAATGCCTACTATATACAGGGTTCTGTTTTAAGTTTCTTTTATTTTATAAATTACTTTGATAAAAATTCTCAGCTATCAATATTCAAAGATATTCAATTATTTAAAAAATCACAAAACATGCTTTTAAATCCTCAAAAGCACATATTATTATATCAGTTGCCATGTAAAGGGTTATCTCATATTATTAAGTAACTTGAAAAATCTATTTTTGATAGCTATATTTGTCCTGCTAGTGATGAGAAGACAACGTTGTCACCCTGTTTTTGAATTCTTGTGTTGGAAGAATCTAACATTTAGTATCAGAGACTGTGAAGATACAGCCCAAGTAAATCTACCATGCCGTCACTTAGCAAATACCACAAAATTCTAAAACCATTACCTTCGGGGTATGCTCCTTGAATTGTATTAAGATATTTCTTCATTTTTGTATGGAATTGTTTTAAAAAGTAAATCTGGTTCTCAAAAAAAAAAAAAAAAGGAAAACCTGATGTTGCTGTTGCTGTCTTTATTTGATAATCATAATAGTCTTTGCCATAATCCAGAGTAGGAAGAACACTAAAAGATTTTTCCTAAGTCACCCAGTTTAAGGCTATGTCTTTACACATGTCTGGTTCACTTCTTCAACCAAATAGTTCAGTCTGCTGACTCTGCTGACTAATAACCAGATTCAGAAGATATTAGAACCACAGATTTATGCCCAGTGGAGGTGTGGAGGACTTTGGGGAAATTAAGGCCTAAAGTAGTTAAATCCCTTGCTCAAGGTCATACAACTTGTATACAGTAGGGAACACATTAGATTATAGGCCTTCTGATTTGAAAATTTGAGTGATTTTCCACATTTTGCAGCTAATATCAGGAGGTATTTTTCAATTCACTTGAAACTAATTGCATTTGTATTTACATTTTGATTAGAGGTTGTAAGTCTAAATAATGAGGATTTAGAATTTTAGGCTTTCATGTTACTGGAGAACTTCTGATCCAATAGTCATTCTGTTAACGAATATTACCTAAAAGTAAATCACGCTACAAAGTTAAGGAGTGTTACTTAGGATTTGTTAAAAAGATTAAAAAAATTTTTTTTCCATGGCTGACTTTATTTAAGTCAAAGGAGAAGCTGATGTTTCTTGTTCCCAAACCATAAAAGTCATGTTATTTTTAAATCATTGGTAAACTTTAAATATTTTTATTTCTAAAGTTAATGTGCTTCCATATAATGAATGATTAAAATATTTATTCAGCTTTCCTAAAAGGAAACTTTATAAGTGATAGGGGAAGCTCTGTAGATTTTTATAGTCTATAACTTTTTTTTTTTTTAACTTTTAAAAACCTCTGCTCAGGTATAATTAGTTGAAAAGAGGGTTGCTTCTGCCTTGTACAAACAGAGGATTTTTTTGAGTCTACACAAAGATGTTTGGAAGCAACTGCTGTTAATGTTGAGTCTCACTTTCCCTGCACAGTAGAGGTTGGTGGGGAAGGGTGTCCCTCCCTTTGCCTATACTAGGGAAAAAGTGTTAAGAAAAGCACTGGATATTTGCCTTTGCATCTGGGGAACACACCAGGTTGTGTGGGAACACACACACTCCTGAGATATCTAAAGGTGAGCTGTCAGGTGGCCTAGTGCCCTGACATTGGCCAGGGGAGCTGGCTGCTTTAGTTTGCAGTTTCCTGGGTCAAAAATGAGTGAATGTTTTTAGGGAAGTGGAGTATGACTACCTGTGGAACCCCTCTGTTGTTCCTCTCCAAGAGTACTGCCTGGCGTCAAAAGGAGTTCAACACAAAGAGGCTGACCTGGGAAAAGTATGGCCAGGTGAAAGACTGTGACTGTGGGATGGAGGGCATCTCTGACAATCCTACAAAGCAGCCCACAACTTTCAATATCTTTCAGGGTCTCTCCTTTCTTCTCCTGTTGCTTTTCTCTCTCCCTTCTGTTCAACTCCAAGCCAGAAAACTCAGCAAATTGGCATTGGGAGCGTAAAGCATAAAGCAGGAAAATGGAAAAATCACCCTCCATCCTGATATATGTGGGAAAGAGAAATGGTGTTAAGATCATTCAGATGAAGAATGTAAATAACTTTGAGCATTGTAATACATATAATGAAGCATGTCATGATTTATAGAATTGGTCAAAACAAATTGTATATTTTGCAACTATCTGAGGAAAGAACATCTAATAAAAGGATACTGTTGCATATTTTATGGTTAGGCATGGATGATATTTATATTCATGATAGTACCTAGATTTGTTAAGTAGGAAAAGTGTGTGGATGAAAGACAAAAGCTGACTTAAAATACTTTGTCTTACTTTAAAAAGAACATTATTTATTCAACTAAATAATATATGTATCTAACAGGTTTGCTTTTCAGTGCAGCATAAGTTCTCTAGAGGAATTTATAATAGCAATGATAATATACAGACAATTCTTCATAACCAATGTCTATAAATACTGTCTTAAGATTGACATTTTTTATTTTAGTTAAAAATTGTTATTAGTGCATTATAGTTGTATCTAATATTGGGCTTCATTTGGACACAATGATGCATGCAATAGAATATAATTTTCTCCAATTCAGTCCCTAGGACTTTCCACTTTCTCTTCTCTTATCCCTCCTCTGGTTGCTTTCCTCTACTCTGCTAGTCCTTCTATTTATTTATATTTTTTAAATTATTGCATTATAGGTATTCATTAAGGTGAAATTCACTGTGGCATATTCCTTATGTACCTAGGATAGTTTGGTCAGGGCACAGGCAAAATTTAGTGTTATATATTCTAGGCTGGATGGGGAGGTATTCTGAGAAAAAAAAAACTGGAATAGGTAGGCTGCCAAAAGTTCATTTCTTGAACCCATATCCAGAAGTCCTCCTATATCTTCAGGGATCTCTCTGGAAACTAAGGCTAGTTCCCATGAAGTTCTCTTTTGCTGATTCCTGAAATACTAGTTTAGTTCTACTTTGCCAAGAATGGGAAATTCCCCTGGCCTTTTCATATTCTAAATTGTTTTTTTTTTCAAAACTGTGATAGTCTGTTTGACTGTGGATACTGACTCTGTGTTTCAGTGACAAGATAAGGTTGAGTGGATAACCCAGAATAGAAGGCCTGTCACCTACCAGTCACCACAGAACTGAAAGGATGCACTTTTCTTGGCTTTCAGTAAAGCACACCCATGTGAAGAGTCACATGAGTTTACAGTTTGCATCTGAGGACTTCTAATGTTCCCACCACTGTGCAAATTCAGTGGCGAGTCTCAGCAGATGTCAAAAGAAGTTCCTACCTGGACCAAGCTATATCCTGTGCGCTGGACCAGGGCGCGGAGGGCTGCTTCCTTCTGGGTGCCGCTCAATCCATCCCCGGATTTGTGATTTGATTCCATTGAGAGTGATTATCAGCAAAAAATCAGGTTAATTAGGGTAGCTCACTGAAATCAAATTTAAGATAAATTAAGTAAATTACTGTTGCCAAGTCCAAACTTGTCCTTCTGATGAAGAACATCTTTAGGAAACATTCTCTACAAATAAGTCATTGAAGTCAAAGCAACTAACAGCCATACACAAACAAAGTAGGTGACTAAATTGGACTCATTAAGAATAGAGTGCTTTAGGGGCTGGGGTAGTAGCTCAGCGCGTTTGCCTAGCACATGCAAGGCCCTGGGTTCCATCCTCAGCACCACATAAAAAGAAATAAATAAAATAAATGTATTGTGTCCAACTTACAACTAAAAATAAATAAATATTAAATAAAAGAATAGGGTGCTTTAAAAGGTTCAGTATAGTTGAAACTTAGAAGGTGAAAATGTGTGGTACCCCTTCTCCTGTTAGTATGCAGGTCACTAATTCTCAATCCAGTTACCTTAGGATGTCACCAAATGGTCAAATACAAATGAGTTCACATCAATTAGAAGAATATGAAAATCTGGGCATGGTGTTGTATATTGTAATCCCAGCAACTTAGATGGCTAAGACAGGAGGATGGAAACTTTGAGGCCAGCCTCAGCAACTTTGCAAGACCTTATCTCAAAGACAGAAATAAAGAAGGCTGGGGATATGGCTCAGTGGTAAAGTGACCCTGGGTTCAATCCTCAGTACCAAAAAAAAAAAAAAAAAGGAGAAAAAGAAGAATATGAAGTTTGGTTCTTATAGATGGGGGGAAGAGGGCATTGTGTCTACATCAAATCAGCAAAGACAGGACATCAAAATTCTGAGATTGAGCTTCATTTATCTATTGCACATGTTTCCTAAGACACTTGTCTACTTATTTTCCAAAGGTAAACTTTTAGAGGAAAGTGTGCTGGTGACAGATAGATGTACAGAAGCCACATATGGTACATGCCACAGAATGAAAATGTGGAATAGATTTTAACAAAACAAGAATAATGGATTTTTTGGAGGGTGTGTTGGAAGAGTGTACCAACACCTGGATCATTACAACATACACAACTCAACCCTTTGTATAATCTAGGAAATGATGAAAGTTTATATAGGTCATGTCTGTGTGCAATTTCAGATTTTGTTTTCTATAGTCCGTTTTGAACCCTATTCCAAACTTCATAGTTGTTACTCAAATTCACAGGTTTCCAGGACAAGAATAATGGCTATTCTGAAGGTTTCAAGCTGTAATGGAGTGAGGCTCTAGAGGTTCCTATGTACATAAGGTGGGCTAGAGTGTAGCAGCTCAATGAAGGTTTTATGCTGGGCTTTTACTCTGCTTAATGTGCTCTACGGCCCAGCATAGAGGAGATGTGTTTTACAATTATTTGAACCAAATGGAACCCTAATGTATTTGACTATAGGTTCTTTTGAAAAATTTTTATCAAACACACTGAGATTTCCTATATTATCATCATTTATAAAACAATATATAAACCATTAATAATATAGGAAACTGGGTCAAAATTTGAGTGACAGAAGAAAAAAGTGAAGCTTCAAGGAATTGTTACTAAAATTATTATCACTTAAGTAATAGAATAGTAATATCACTAGTATTAAGATTATCAATAGTAGCAATAATGCTATTGCTAATAATAATAGCAATAGATATTCTATTACTAAGGTGACTGAACAAAAAAGCCTACAAACTAATTCACAGGAATTATTTAGAACATAATATTTTCAACATACTTTAGGAAACCAAAGGGAAACATACAAAATTCCAGAGGAAGAATACTCATTATCTTTATAGGGACAGAACAATGTCATCCTCTGCAGATGAGTATGACCATTTCTTGCCTGTGACCTTTGTGATACTGTTGCTTACTCTTGCCCCAGGTCAACTCACCCATTCTTTTAAGAAGTATTTAGTTAGTTCTGTCTGTATGCTGGCTCCACTCCCTACCCAGCTTTAGGGCATTGTGTTTCATGGGCAGCCTGTTAACTCAATAAGTTAACATACCAGGTTCAGTGTCTACACTTTGCAAGTTTTTTTTTTCTTTTTTAAAAAATTTTTATTAGTTGTTCAAAACATTACATAGCTCTTGACATGTCATATTTCATACATTTGATTCAAGTGGATTATGAACTCCCATTTTTACCCCGTATACAGATTGCAGAATCATATCGGTTTTGAATCTTGCAAAGGACAGATTAGAATTTCTTTGTAATAGTAGTGATTTGATATAAATGTAACAACTTGGGTTGGGAAAAGTACCTTTATTGATACATTTAGAGTATAAGTACTTTTTCTATGGATTCTAAAATATAGTGTAAATTGAGACCTGCATTCAGTTTATAATCCTAAAATGCTGGTGAATACAGGCATAAGGATTTCTAGGAGACAATATAAACCTTAAAACAGATAAATAAAACTATGAAAATTTTTTGAACATTTATAAATAAAACTACCTTTAAGACAAATTCTAATTCTTACACTGTTTCCAAATATTACTAAATTGTTTTTTCATTGGACATTCTCAAACTCTCCGGCTGTGCTGATTTAACTTGCAAGAGAAGGAGGTGGTGGATGAGTGTATGTCTTACAGCCCTTTGAAGGCAAAGTCTACAGTCTTATGCCAGGTTACAGATTTACACTTTGCTGAACTTCATCTTTTCCATCAAAAGATAACAGTTCATGGTGACACAACAAATTTGCTTTTGCAAAACCTACCTTTCGTTTTTGTTAATAATTACTAAAGGTGATTAAAGTTATTTTGATATCAGAAAGGTCTTTTGATTACATATGAGTTCACTCTGAAGTTATTGAGACAAATTGTGTAACATTTGAATTTTGTCTCAAGTCATTGGAAATCAGGACATGGAAATAAAGTTCAGAATCTGCTAAAGAGGCACTTGAAGGGCTAGGGGTGTAGCTCAGTGGTAGAGTGCTTGCCTAGCATGAATGAGGCCTTGGATTCACTCCCCAGCACTGTAACAACAACCACAAAATAAAACAAGAAAACACTGGATATTCAGTTTGTATTCCTCCAAAATAACTCCCTCTCCCAATGTTGACCAAATCTAAGGGGTAAACTTGAATCACAGATAAATATTTTTTTAAGCAAGTCAAACTTTTGTGAAAAATCTTGGTCAATTTGAAATGAAGGTTTTGCAATACATTTTCTAATTCAGTGCTAGCTGTAAATTTTTAAGATCTGAGACTATTTTGAAATAGTAGTTCCCAATGTAATTTATTGAGGTAACAGCATCCAAACAAAACCTATCCATATGAGGCACTGGAGCTAGAAGAGAGCATTAACGTGTATCTATTACTTATTAATCAAAAAATTGCTAAGTGCCTACCATCTTCCAGGAATTTTGGAGACACTGAAGATGTAGCAGAGAATGAAACGGATCCCTCCCCCAAACTTCTCTGGGAGTTTTATAACAGGTGGGAGAAACAATAAGTGATAAGATCAATAAGTAAAATAGAGTGGTGGTATGATATTTTCTGAGGAGAAACAAAATAAAGTGTAGAAAAGGAATATTTACAATGTGTTTGTAGGTGGGGAACATTTAGAAAGTTTGTCCTAATAAAGTGAATTTGGGAAGAGATCTGGGTGAAGAAAGAGACTTATTGGATAGAACATTCTAGGCAGAGAAAGAGCCTAGTCAGAGTAAGGACAGGGGTGGGAACATGTTGATGGAATAACAGAGGCCAGTGTGATAGAGGATGAGGCTCAGTAAAAGGGAGAGAAGTAGGAGTATAGGTTAGAGAGAAAATCAGACCAGCTCATGGTAGATCCTATCAGTCCCAATAAGGACTTTGGCTTTGGCTCTTAGACAAGGATCACTGTGACTGTTGTGAATACATGGAAGGGAGTAGAACTGGGCTGGGAACAGTTCTATATTACAGAGAGGCAAGTAATGCAAATACAGAGTCTAGTCCTGATTTTATTTAAAATTTCACTGTTTCATTCATTATGAATTGCTTTTGCATTGGTTTAATTGAAAAGTATTGCCTTAATATATCATTTGTCTATATTACTGAGTTTTTGGGTGTTCCTTTAAATTTCATTCTGGAGATAAACATCTTATTTGCCTCACTTACCTCACTCTAGCTGGTGGAGATGGGAGAGAGAAGCAAGAGATATACCAGAAGCCATTGCTACATCTAGGAAAAAGATGAGAAGGGCTTGCACTGGTGTGGAGAGAGTGGTGACTGTGAAAAGTGGACACATTTTGGATATATTTTACGGACTGATTGGATGTGTTGTGTGGGAGGAAATAAGAATCCAGAATGACATTCAGTTTGGAAGGAAGAAAAGCAGGGGCTCCAGTTTGGGCATGCTCATTTTAGTTCCTTGGAGAGGTACATGTGGATAAGTTGATGGCAGGTGGATATGAGCCTGCATTTCTGGGAGAGTCCCAGGAAGGTGAGGCTGACTGTGAGGTTATCCATGTAGAGGTGATATTTAAGCTGTAAAACTAGATGAGATCATCTAAGGACTGAGTGTAGAGAATAGATGAAAGACTGATCTCTGGAGTCCAATTTGTAGAAGTTGGCATGTAATAAGGAACTATCAAAGACAATTGAGTGAAATGGCAAAAAAAAAAAAAAAGATGGGATAAGAACCAATTGAGTGAGATGGTCTGAAAGCCAAGTAATTTTGAGAACAAGTGATTGGCCAGCTGCACAAGTTCTACTAAGTCAAGGAGAAAAGGTCTGAATAGGAATCCAGACCCAGGAACTAGATTTTCAGGGTTTGCATCCTTATTGTGTTCCTTACTGAATTCTCCAGGCAGATTTCTTAACCTCTCTGTCTCAGTATCCTCAACTGAGGTAATCATAGTACCTCTCTCAGGGTTTCTTTGGATATTACATGAGTAATGAATTGAAGGGGTTTTGTAAGCGCCCCTGGCAGATGGGACATGACTGATTAGTGTTAGGCAAAAACATATGACACCAGAAAGAGGAGAAAGAGAGAGGCAATCTAGTCCCCAACTATACAAGGAGCACCTCAACTCTAAATCCAGAGACTCTGCAATAAGAAGTTGTGT